CTTCTAAAGCATTATCTTCCTGGTCAACTTCATGTTCGAATATCATGTCATTTTCATAATCTGACAGATAAAGTGTTTCAATCACATCTTGTTCATTATTTTCTCCTTGTATACTTTCATTCTCAATGTTTTCCAAAACAACTTCAGAAATATCGTTATTTTGTGCTTCATTTATTTCATTCATATGTTCCTCATCTGAAGAGCTACTATCTATCACATTGGGCGCAATAATTCTTTTTCTCAACCTTTCAAGCGATGCTACTTTTGTAAGATCCTTAGTTGCCTGCTTTATTGTCTGTATAAAATGATTTTGCAACTGAATTCAAACATAATTTATTTTATTAATAATACTATAAGCACATATATAGTCTTCGTAGATAAATAATCCCTGTCTGCCTTGAATGTGAAAAAGTACATCATTATAATGTCTTCTTTTGTAATATAGATATTACTAAAAACGTTATACATTGTACATTATTAAAACTTTTTTTATGCACACATAATTGTTTCAATTAAAATCAGTCATGTTAATGAGTTTATAATAATATTCCAAAGTGATTATAGTATATTAATTTAATATAATATAATTTAATATTGCAAGACTGTAGTTTTAATAAAGCAAAATCATTCAAGTAGTATATTTACGGAAATCAAGATACTAATTACTATTATACTTTACTAATTACTATTATACTTTATCTATAACAGTAAAAAATTCTTTTTAAGATTGAATGCACTTTTATCTTTAGAAACCTTTTTATCTTTAGAACCTTTGCTAGGAACAAGGAGGAATAGTAGAATAAATCTGATATTATCAAAATTTTATAAAATCAGCCAGTTTAAATAAACATAATTGTCTAAAAAATAATGTACAAAGATTTAAAGTAAAAGTCGAATGGTAGCATAATAATTAAACTTTAAAATACACTACACAAGCAGTACACTCACATCGCAAAAAACACAATAAATTTCTCCTAAAAAAAAACTTACCAGTCTTTCTTCGTTTATATCCTTCGTTATTATTCATATTTATTTGAACATTAATCTAATTTCTAAAAAATACTGTACAAA